ATATTATAGACTGCATCTTTCTATGCCGTTCCTAGCACCCTCCCCCATGAGTGTTCCTGATTCCCACTGCCTTGACAATTTTTCTTTCTTTCTTTCTTTCTTTCTTTCTTTCTTTCTTTCTTTCTTTCTTTCTTTCTTTCTTTCTTTCTTTCTTTCTTTCTTTCTTTCTTTCTTTCTTTCTTTCTTTCTTTCTTTCTTTCTTTCTTTCTTTCTTTCTTTCTTTCTTTCTTTCTTTCTTTCTTTCTTTCTTTCTTTCTTTCTTTCTTTCTTTCTTTCTTTCTTTCTTTCTTTCTTTCTTTCTTTCTTTCTTTCTTTCTTTCTTTCAATTTTTCTTTCTTTCTTTCTTTCTTTCTTTCTTTCTTTCTTTCTTTCTTTCTTTCTTTCTTTCTTTCTTCATTTATTTATTTATTTATTTACTTTATTTTGGTCTTTTTTGAATCAGGGTCTCCCTGTGGCCCCAGCTGGCCTGGAACCCACAGAGATCTACCTGCCTCTACCTCCCAAACTGCTGGGACTAAAGGTGTGTGCCACCACACCCGGCAAAATATGTCATTTTTAAAAACAGCCATCAAAAATACCATATGACCTCACTGGTCAGAGGAATCTAAAAGAGCCAGAAATAGAGAATAAAATGGAAGTCACAAGAGTTGGGAGGAAAGGGTGAGGTGGACAGTAAAAGGGACCTCAGTGGTTGAACTTTTTGGTAGACAGGAGGAATGATGTCTGTTGTGTTGCACAATATATGTAAAAATAGCCTCCTGCCCACCCAATTCCTGAAGTCCCCTTCCTCTTTCTGCCTTGACCCTATGGTAGGCTCATGTTTAGGTATCAGAAGATCTTTGTGATAGATTGCCCCTCCCTTAATTTCCTCTTGATTTGGTCCTTATCTTGGGCAATTATTTAGTGTCCAGATACAAATCTTACAAATAACTTTTTGTTTTCCCTGTTGGTCTGCCTCGTTCTCCCCTGTAGTTGATCAGCAAGTTAGGTCAGCTTTACCTTTGAGGTATCCCATGTCAACTGTGTATGAGAAATCACACTTCAAAATATAGATGTGGATTATCATCCATCTTTCTAACTGAGTAAACTGAGGCCCATAAAGGTTAAGCAGCTTGTCCACAGTCAAGGTTTGGTCCCATGCCTATGGCTCTAGAGCCATTAGACCCTGTCTGTTAGACTGCTGTTTCTGACTGCCAGGTCTGACTCCTAATCCAAAGTCATGGGATAGTCTTCTGAACAGAATCTTGTACTCAACTGCCTACCACACTGCTGTCGAGTATGTTTTTTCTAAGGCAGAAGGAAATAAGATTGTGATGTCATTCAGCCTTTTTTTTTTTTTTTTTTTTTTTTTTTTTTTGAGACAGGGTCTCACTATGGTAGCCCTGACTGGCCTCAAATTCACAGAGGTATGCTTGCCTTTGCCTGAGTGCTGATATTAAAGGCATGCACCACATATGACTTCAGTCTAAATTGTTAAGTGCTGCTGTTCCCTATAAAGAAAGCCCTGACTCCTCATAGATTGTTATGTTTGTATTAAAATTGATAAGCTGGGGCTGGAGAAATGACTCACCAGTTAAGAGCACTGGCTGCTCTTGCAGAAGACTCTGGTTCAAATCCCAGCACCCACTTGGTAACTCTACACGTAACTCTAATTCCAGGGGATCCAATGCCCTCTTCTGTCCTCTGCAGGCATTGCATGACACGGCTGCACCTAGATACATGCAGGCTCTACACTCATACACATAAATTTTTTTTTTTTAAGTTGGTAAGCCATCTCACGTCTGCAAATGTTAAAAAGGCCATCATGTAGGGATAGGCCTACCAGACCTTCAAGGCCAGTTCTTGCTTCAGGTTGCAGCAAGTCTCCAGGGCTCTGCTGCTTCTTCTGCCACTAGCCTGTGGACCCCCTGGATGCACTCAAATTCTGCTTTGTCCTTCAACTGATTGTTTCCTCTACCCTCCTCCCTGGGTTGGGAACACCTTCTCTTCATCTTTTATGTTGTTCCCAGCATCTTCACTTGAGCTTCCCTAGTTCCCTACTCCAGTAAAGATTGTATTTCATGTTCTCAGGTAGCCTTGAAAACTCCCCAATACTTAGCAGTCAGTTTATAGCAGAGCTCCTTATCAGATCATGCAGTTCTTTGCTTGGAAACCTTTTTTAATCTTATCTGTGTCCCTTTAGCAACTCTCAATGTACAGATGTCCAGCTAGATTTGTTCTTTATAAAATGACTGACATCTTAAGAGTGTACTTAGCCTGAGCTCATACGACTAAAGGGTGCCCAATAAATGTCTAACCAGTGAGTGAATGAGCATGAAACAAGACTGGTGAGGTCTGGCTTGTCTGTTACACAGGATTCTTAATGAACATGGTTCAATTCAAATTCATGCTCCCGGTATTGGGATAACTCAGCAAATATTGCATGCAGTTCAATATGCAGCCATTAAGAATAATGAAATAGGGACTGGAGAGATGGCTCAGCAGTTAAGAACACTGGCTGCTCTTGCTTAAGATTTTGTGATTATTTTCTGTCTCCTAGAAGCGCTGAAGGTGAAACGGCCTCGTTTTGATGTGTCACTGGTTTACTTAACTCGAAAATTTATGGATCTTGTCAGATCTGCTCCTGGGGGTATTCTTGACTTAAATAAGGTTGCAACCAAACTGGGAGTCCGGAAACGGCGAGTGTATGACATCACCAACGTCTTAGATGGCATCGAGCTAGTTGAAAAGAAGTCTAAGAACCACATTCGGTGGATGTGAGTTGGTTTCAAATGTTCTTTGCTCTTCCCCTTTCTCATCACGTGACAGTTTCATGTGGAAGCCAGTGCAGATGGTAGCAGTGTTTTAGAAAAAGATTCCCTAAGATTTTTTTGTGTTGCCTCACAGTACTTAATATTTACATTATTCTTAGGTCTAAATAGGAACCATAGACAGAAAACATCTTTCAGACATCCTAAAAAAGCTAAATGGAATAAGATGATTAATAAATTTTCCCTTTTAATACCATAAGAATGGAACATCTGCTAGTAGGGTTTTTTAAAGAATCTTCCTTAGTGCAAATTTGTATCCAGAAAATCTGTTTAAAACAGTGATTTTTCACAGAGTTGTATAATTCCTAGCCAGAAACCCAGCCCCTCTTGTGATTAGGTAGTTCTGGGGGAGGAGCAGGAATCTGCATTGTCAACAGGTACCTCAGGTGATTGTGATGTTGGTAAACTGACACACTACCCTGAGTGTAAAGCTAGTCAGACTTAACTATCCAAACGGCAGGTGCTAAAGAGCTGGCAGGATTGGGAAGGACCCAGGGAAAGAAGGCCTGAAGATGAAGACATGGATAGAGCTGTGTGCACACACACTCAGGAGAAAAACCACAGTGACACTCAGTCAAGGGTTTCCAATCAGGAAAAAGTGTTCCAGCCTTCAAGTGCATTAGAGACATGACAGGCAAATGAAAATTCAAAGATCATCAAATGACTGAATGAATGTTAAAGGGAAAGGGGTCATGAAGGAGGCTAGTTGTTAATAATACAATATACTGACAACTCTGATATGAATGTGTTACCTATCAGTGCATTCTTAATCTGAAAGAAAATTAGATTTGAACACTAGCAAGCAGATCACAAATAAAGGAGACAGCCTTTCTCTTCATTTCCAAAAATACTGAAGGAAAAGTTGTATATTAGTTATTAGTCATATAAGAGTAGCCACTAATGGTCATGGATTTGATCAAAACACCTTATATGCATGTATGAAATTCTCAGTAAATTATTTTTTTTTTTAAAGTTGCCACTAAAAGGTAAAGAAAATGTGTCTCTTAAGAATGAAGAGGCACACTGGGTATGGTGGTACATGCCTTTAATCCCAGCACTCTGGAGGCAGAAGCAGAGCCAGGCAGATCTCTTGTGAGATTGAGGTCTGCCTAGTGAATTCTAGGCCAGTTAAGGCTACATGGAGACCCTCTCTCAAAAAAACAAAAAAGAAAAGAATGAAGAGAGCAGGGGCGATGGCTCTGCTGGAAAGCACCTGACAACCTGGGTTGAGATCCTTGGAGCCCTTATAAAGGCCAGAGGCAGTGGTGTGTATCTGTCATCCCAGTGCTCCTCCAGCAAGATGCAAGGTGAGCACAAGAGAATCCCCAGAAGCTCACAGCTCAGCCAACCTGGAGTATACAACACAGCAACAAATAACAGAAGAGACCCTGCCTCAAAAAATAATGTGGAAGGCGAGGACCAACACCCAGGGTTGTCCTATGACCTCCACATGCATGCCTTGGCATGTGTGTGCTTACATGCACACACACACACACACAAAATATACACATATTGTACATACACACATTTTTTTTTTTTTAAAGTGTGCCTAGCATGGTGGCGCATGCCAGCACTCAGGAGGCAGAAGCAGGCAAGTCTCTGTGAGTCAGCCTGGTCTACATAGTTCCAGGCCAGCTGAGTGTACAGGGAGACCCTATCTCAAGAAAAAAAAAGTCCAAAAAAAAAGAATGTAAGCCAGTCATAGTGGTATATACCAGTAATCCCAGCACACTCGGGAGGCTGAGGCAAGAGGATTGCTGTTAATTCAAGGCCCTAGCAAAACTTTATCTCAATTCCTCCAAAAAAGAATGAGTACAATCATTATAATGGCACAGACCATATGAAAGGAAATGTGAATGTAGAATTTTAACAGATCGTTTTTAGCCAACACTCCTTTTCACATGTGGAATTGCTGTTCTGCAGTCTCCCAGCTGTTAATGCTGTTTGTTTTTCTTTAAAGAGGATCTGACCTTAACAGTTTTGGAGCAGTACCCCAGCAAAAGAAGCTGCAGGAGGAACTTTCAGACTTATCAGCCATGGAAGATGCTTTGGATGAGTTAATTAAAGATTGTGCTCAGCAGTTGTTTGAGTTAACAGATGACAAAGAAAATGAAAGATATCCTTTAAGTCTGTACCCTTTTTAGAATTCCTGCCTCCAAAGTAGGTTAAGTATTATGGTAAGCTTAAACTTGAGATTTAATTACATATTCAAAATATAAAATTAGGCCCTTAAAAGTTAAAAAGTTAAAAGTTTAGTGGTATAGTCTCAGACCTATGCAGCAGTATGTGCTGGCTGTAGCTTCTTTGTATGGCACTTGGGTCAGAGTCTACATGGCAACCTTGGTTGCACAGTGACAAGCCCAGGTTAAGTTTAGGGCTTCTACTTAAAATTGCAAGTGACTCTGTGTGTGTGTGTGTGTGTGTGTGTGTGTGTGTGTGTTGTGGTCTCTGCATTTCCAAAGCAAAGTACACAGTCACTGGGGTAGTGTCTGAATTCTCATTGCCACCATAGAAGATCACTGTGGAAGACATCAGTCCTCAGGAACTAGGAGACATTTGTCCTTGGTCCCTGGCTTTTCCTGGGTCTCCCAGACTGTCCTGTTTGACTTTTCAGTGCCCTTTGTGAGTGTTGCTAATTCTGAGCCTCATTTCCTATTCCCCTCTATCTTATTATTAGTTACTGATTTCTTACTGTGCCTAATACATAAATTGAATCTTACCATGGATTTCTGTGTATAGGAAAATGCATAGTGTATAACTAACCACTTCCCTTCATTGTGAGTTTGTATCCCATAAAAACTAAGGCTCTTCTAATGCCTGCATTCATATATTATTAGAGACGATGATCTGCCCAGTTTGTAGCATTATGCTTAAAGATCCTTGACCAGGTTTCACACTGGCATATGTAACCTATCAGGATATTCACAGCATTCAAGCCTTCCATGAACAGATTGTTATAGCAGTGAAGGCTCCAGAGGAAACCAGATTGGATGTTCCGGCTCCCAGAGAAGTAGGTAACCCTGCGTTGTGTAAAAGTCATAGAGGGAGGTAGTTTAGTAGCCAAGTCTGTGACTGTTGCAGTCACTTGCTCAGTAGCCACTGTGTACTTGTCAAGCTATATATGTGTTAGCCGAACTATTCAAGGCCCTTCATGTATTTTAACCTGTTTTGATTAACATAAATGAAGTAATCATTGTAGCCTCAGAGAAGAAGAAAGGGAACACAGAAAGGAACACACACAGTAAATGGCAGGACTTAGTATAGAGATAGGGAGTTTGACTTTAGAGCTTGGGTTTGTTATGGATTTGTTTGTTTGTTTGTTTGTTTTTAATGTTTGTTTTTGCTTGCATGTATGTAGGTGCATCACATACATGCAGTACTCACAGAGGCCAGAAGAAGGCGTCAGATCCCCTAGACCTGGAGTCACAGACAGTTGGCCATCATGTAGGTGCTGGGACTAGAACCCTGGGCCTCTACAAGAGCAGCCAGTGGTAATGACTGAGCCATCTCTCCAGTTCCTCAGTGCTTATTCTTAATGGTGCTGTTGCTGTAATGCTGCAGAGGAAATCACTACACTGGCTTTAGCCTTAGAGTTCCAAAAGTAATCTGGCAGTCAGGTCTCAAGGGATTAACAATTTACTAACCAAACTCAGAAAAAGACTGAAAAATAAGCTAGAACACTGAGTTACACATTTAAAATATCTGTGTAAAATCAGGCATCTTATCTACTACCAGCTGCTTAACACATTCTTTCCCTTGCAGGAAAGTTTGTGTTGAGAGCTAATCGTCATCAGAAGGCTGCTTGGTAAGGATGGAGTCAGAACCAAAGACGGTAGCCCTTCTTGGGACAAATCATCAAGTTCTGACAGCCTGGTAGACCCCAGTGCTCAGTCCTTGACTGCAGTAGTGAGGACTGTTCTCCCCATCCTCCTCCTTCTGTCCCAGCGGACTGCTGTCCAAGTGAGACCTTGTCACCTGACAATCATCAGTCCTTTGTGGAGCAGTTCACTTTTGCTTCATTCACATTCAGATTGTGTGACTTGATGATTCCTTGTTTTGGGTTTAGATACATTCCAAGTACCCAAATATCATTTAATGTGAGTTATTCCACAGATGTTGAAACACTTTTTAAAAAAAATAAATAACCACTAATTGTCAGCACAGCATGATAATCCATTCTGCAGCAAGTGATGGGGTTTTGGTTTCCCAGTGCTCCCAGCTGCTTGACTGTCATCACTAAATTGCTCTGAGCCTTTATGTATATCCAAAGCCTCTCTCAGTCCCATTTAGAACTCTGTGTTTGAGGTCCTCTTGGTTGGCTGTTCTCCGCAGCATGATGGTCAGTAGAGTCTTTGACTCCTCAAGGCTCAAGGGGGTCTGTAGGTCTAGTGCAGGCCTGGCACAGTGGTCTTTGGTCTACTCTGGCTTCCTATTCCTTCATGTAAATAGTTTCATTGGAACAAGTCTGTTTGTATAGATGTTGCCCCTGTCTGTGTTTATGGTACAGTAGCAGAGTTAACTAATATGATAGGGACAGTGTGGCCTAAAAAGCCAGAAATAGGTTCCGTTTACCCTTTTTTTTTTTTTTAATTAAAAACAAGTTATGTGTATGTTTGGTTCTGTGTATGAGTGAAAATGCCCACAGAGGCCTGAAGAGGTCATTGGATCCTCTGGAGCTGGAGTTACGGGTGGTTCAGGTAGTTGTGAGCCACCCAGTATGGGTGCTGGGATCTAAATTCAGATCCACTGTGAGAGTAGTGTGTGTTCTTAACCACTGAGACATCTCTCAAGCCCCCAAGAGCTCCCCCTTCACAGAATGACTTAGTGGCTTATGAAGTTCTGTAGACTGACTGGCAGTCGGGAACAGCATTATTTTCTTGCATCATTAAATGATACAAGGTTTCCCATTCAGACTGGACCTGCTTTGGCACTACAGCAGCTGAGTACAGAGGTGGTCTAACTTACCTGTCTGGTACTAGGAAGCAGTAGCAAGGGTTACATAAGAAATCTGGAGTCCCTGAGAAGGCACATCTCCCCCAGCTTGCTTGTACAAGAGCCCAGAGAAGCATGGAGCAGGATGGACAGCATGTGGACAGAGAGAAAGTGGACTTGAGAGCTAAGACAGCTCCCAGTGAAAAAGACCAAAGAATCATCATATTTAGTCTCTCGGTATAATATGCAACCAATTTCTTAATTTCTCATAGGAAATTAAGAATTGTAATTATTTCCCAGTCAATAAATCTGAGGCCAAAGGATGCAAAAGTCATTAGTTAATAGTTCTTCTCTTATGTGACTTTTTAAATTACATGAGGCGGCGCTGGAGCAATGGCTCAGTGGTTAAGAGCACTAGGTGCTCTTGCAGAGGACCTGGGTTTGATTCCCAGCACCCACATGGTGGCTAACAATCATCTGGAACTCCAGTTCCAGGGGGATCGATGCCCTCTTCTGGTCTCTGCAGGTATTGCACAACACAGTGCACTTACATACATGCAGGCAATACACTCATATGCATAAAATTAAAATAATAAAATAATTTTTAAAAAATTACATGAGGTGCATTTTGACTTGATCTTTTCCCCTTGGATCTTTTAACTGTACAGAAGAATAGCTTTTCCTGTTATCTCAGTACCTCTGCATTGGTTTAGAAACCTAAACACATCCTTATATGAGACCATAGAGTGTTCCAGACCCCCTTGTTGTCAGAACACTGATTTTAACTCAGTTTGACTTTACCAGTAAAGGTCAGCCCCTGGAGTAAAGAAAGATAAGTTGGTGGAGGTGGGGGTGCTGGAGAGAAGGCTCAGCAGTTAAGTGCATTGGCTGCTCTTGCAGAGAACCTGGGTTCAGTTCCCAGCACCCACATGACTGTTCACAACCACCTATAACTCAAGTTCCAGGGAATCTGATGCCCTTTTCTGCCCTCTGCAAGCAATATACACACGGCACACTTACATACATGTAGGCAAAACATTAATACACATAAAAATAAAGAAAGAAAAAATTTGAAGATAGGCTTTCAAGGACTCAGACATTCAGGTGATACTCTGAAAGTATCAGTGCTCCACAAGCCAGTAGCTGCCCTCATTGAATTAGCCAGTGGTTTACAATGTGACTATGGCTAAGAGCACAATTTCCTCAAATGCATGGTAGAAAGGAAACTACTAGAATTTGTATCTTCAGGAAAGCCCTTTGAACTGCGTTGTAGCAAGTGAAAAGCTGATGTGTGGATGCTCGTGTTCATCTTGGTTGTGTGTCCCTTGCCAGGATTCTATCACGGTACATATAAGGAGCACCAAAGGACCCATTGATGTGTATTTGTGTGAGGTGGAGCAGAACCACTCAAATGATAAGACACCTGATGGAGTAGAGGTCTCTCCATCCAAAAACAAACCTCCAGAATGCACAGAGGAAGGTAAACAGATCAATTTTGTGATTAATGTTAAAATTCTGACAGTTTTCAGTATGTAATATGAATACATATCTTTAAGATGTTTTTGTGCCAGGTATGTCAGTGCACTCCTAGAATCCCAGAACTTGGGAGGCTGAAGCATGAGGATCCAAATCATAGGCCAGCCTGGGCTACATAGTGAGACCCTGTCTCAAAAAACTTTGTGGCTAAGTTGCAGAGTTTTGGTGTTGGTGAAAAAAGCATTAGAGTCAGTCCTGTGGGGGCAGTAGCTTGTGGGCTCTTGGCAGAGAAGATTATCTATATTCCATGGCAGGGGCTTTCCAGCCACAAGCTGGAGTTCCTGTTTCTTCTGTGAACACAAAAAGGTCAGTCTTCTGCCATTGATGTGGGAATGTGGGTTCTTGACTGGGGACTTACTTCTTTAGTTGAATTATGTGCTCAGTTGCCATTCGGGCTGTCACTCAATTTCTCTTATGTGTCCTGTTTCAGAAGAAAATCCTCAGTGAGATGAAGAGTCACTTGAAGTGAGCGACTGATAGGGAAATTAATTGAGGTCTTTGGAGCATCCTGCATGGATAAATTATGCACTGGTTTGATCTTCAGCAATAAGTCTCCCATGACATGCTCTCCTCAGTCTGGATTAGCGGTAGTATAAAGGCCAGTAGCAGCCTTGAGTAGCTCCCTACTTAGGTCACTGGAGAATTACATTCCCACATTCAAAATCAACTCTAGATAATTATTCACTGCTTTTTGTCAGTGAAATAAATTTCTTGCCTCCTGAACTAACTTTATCATGAAGAATATCACAGAAACAGATGGTCAGGTCTGGCACAGTTCATCATGGACTTGCCTTCCCTGAAGGATGATGTCATGTGTCACAGAAGAATTGCCTTACACTGGTTCACGTTTGCAGTTAGGTGTTGTGAGTTGGCTAGGTCTGCACACAGAGCCAAATGTGTCTGTATATAATCTTTAATAAGATTACTTATTAAATATGTCTAAGTGACACTTTTACCCTTGAACAGCCAAAATAATGTATAGAGAGTGACAAATGCTCTAATTTCCTGAGTATCTATAACTTAAAAGAATCCTCTGGATGAGGGTTAGAGGACTTTTTCTAAATTTCTACATGTAGAAGTATTACAGATATACTTAAAGTATTTTAATATGGTTTCCCGATGCTAAAATTAGAGTGGAATATGTCTTGATTTTAAGCTGCCTACAGAGTCCCTGTGTCCCAATAGATTGGTGACCTGTCTCAAGGCTTTAGGGGCAAGCCTAGAAATGCCATCGGGCAATGGATCAGTTCATTGAGGGTGAACTTGGTCCTGGTGAAACCTGAAAGCCTTCTTAGGCTTTATCAAGCAGATTTTATAGTGTGTCTCTGTATGCAGCCTTGCTCCTCGGCCAGAGGGGTTTTACCTCCTATGCGTCGTACCCTGCCCACTCTCCAGCTCTAGCCTTGCCTTTCCAAGCACCTAGCTATTTCTACCTCAGTGGGTAAATCATTTACCCCTCTGTGCCTCCGTTTACTCAGTAATTTACCATTAGACTGTGAGCTCCTTGAGAGACCTTATAGTCTTTGTTCTTTCTCAGCGCCTTGCACCATGCCTAGTCCATTCAAAGTGCCCAATAAATGTCTAGCAAACCAGTGAGTGGGTGAGTGTAAAGGGGGGCTGCTGGAACCTAGCTTATCTGTTGCACAGGATTCTGGAAAGCATCATTCACATTTTAATTTCTTACTTTCATAGAAAGATTTGAAGCAACTTGCAATAAAGACCATGTGTAAGAAGATTTAAAATAGGGATCCAAAATTAAAATTTATTTAAAAAATAATGCTGAGTGCTTTGGATTCCTGTCATCTAAGCTCAGGAGCTTTGCCACTTGTACTCTATGCTGGACGCCAGGTCCCCGACCCCAGCAACCTCTGCCTGTTTATTACAAGATACTTAAGAGACTACCAGTAATCACTGTGGCCACCTTCCAGGCATTTCCTTCTCTTTTATACAAAAAGTTCTTTGAAGTCAGCCAAAGAAAAGCCTAGGACATGCTCCTTTCCTCTTTAGACTGCTAGTTGGTGAAATGTGACAAGATATGGAACACAAGAGGAACAGCAAAAGGGGTAGAAATTAAGTTTGAGACATGTTGGATGGAGGCAGAAGTCCTGGCACCTGAATTTGGGGGTCAGGTGCCTCTGGGAAGAGCTGGGATTAGGAGAGTGCACTTGGCAGATGTTGGTTCATTTGTGATGGTTGAGCCTGGAGAGGAGCTGAGCTCATCTGATTGAACATCATAGGCAAGGAGAGGCCCAAGAGCAACTGTGTCTAGAGAACACAGAAGAAAACCCTTCTGAAGGAATGTTGGAAGGAGGAAAAGCTGAAGGTAATGTCCCACATCCCAGGAAGCATTGCCAGAGGTGAGCAGCAGATCCTGGCCTGGGCAGTAGGACAGATGATCTGCTTTACAGGACATTCTGAGGGTATGATATCATGTCACCAAGAGTCCTTTGTCAATTGTAAATGTGTTTTATAAATGAAGTGTCTTCATTACTCTGTCTTCTGGTGTTTGGCCTCTTCCTTTTAGAACTAGTAAAATGGATGTCTTGTGGACTACTTTCCAGGCCCCCCTTTTCTCCACTACTCCCGTGTGTACCCTCCTGACTTTCATTTATGTCAACAGGGGCAGTCCCCTATGAGCTCTGATGGGTTCTTAGGTCTAGACCTAAGATCTGTGCCTTAGTGCCCACATGCACACATGTCACTCCTTTCTTCAGGCATCCACAATGACTATGGGTAAACAAGTGGACTTGGAGCTTGGCCAGCTGGCCTTGACCACAGTGGCTTTATTCACTGGGCCTTTATTGTCCCCTTCTCTGTGTACAGTGAAAGTAATGTATCCAACCAAGGTTCACATCATTTTTAGCCAATGTTTGTAAAAATTTAGGCTGTAGGGAAAATGACTCTCTATATACAGATATGTGTACCAAAAGAAGGGAGTTTGCAGGGAGAGTTCTAGTGTAAGGTCTCCCCAGAAGATACCCAATGTCAGCCTGTGGCCTCCACTTGCATGTGCACACATGCACTTCACACAGATTTTTTAAAATACACATTTTGGGATTAGAGATTACTCAGCAATTCAGAGCACTTGCCACTCTTGCAGAGGACCCCAGTTCAGTTCCCAGCACCCACGTGGCAGCTCACCACCATCTGTAGCCCCAGTTTCGAAGGTGCCAACACCCTCTTCTGACTTCTACAGGCACCGGACATGTACATGGTGCATGTGCATACATGCAGGCAAACACAAAAACATTTTTAAAAAATACACCTTCTTACCCAGGGGACCCTGTAGTTGTCTGTTTTTCCCTATGTGGATATTTGCAGTACCTGGAGACATGTTTTTGGTGCATCACTGGAGGGTGTGCTGACCTAGGAGCAGAGAACAGGGATGTCAGCAAACATGACGTATCATAAGCCAAGCAGATTTGCCCTCTCCAGAGTTAAGTCAGTAAAAGGTAAGTAACCTGTGTAATTTAGGAGTAAAATGTTAGGCCCGTCTGTCCACCAGCCTAATGTCATGTCCCCAGTCACCTTTGTCACCTTGACTCCGATTCCCAGATTTCTGTGTCTCATTTGACACTGGACATGGAAGAGAGAAATTATTTACTGGGATAAGCCATTACAGACTGCATAGGGGTCCTATGTTATTATGGACTAAATTATCCTAGTAAAAGAAATCTCCAGACAGCTGGCTTAAATAATAATAAAGTATGTTTAGAAAAATCGAGAGATAATCCGGAGTTGGTATTTAAACTTTTTTTTTTTTTTTCTGAGATAGGGTCTCCCTGTAGCCCCAGCTGGCCTGGAACTTGCTGTGTAGACCAGGCTGGCCTTGAACTCACAGAAATCTGCCAGCCTCTGCCTCCTGAGTGCTGGCACTAAAGGCATGTGCCACCATACCCAGCTTGGTACTTAAATTCTTTTCAAGGTTCTTCCCAGGTGGTTGCCATGCTTGGCTTCTACTACCGAGGTCACTTCGAAATGCAAGGACACCCAACCACTGCTGCCATACTAGCCAGCAGAAAGAAGGAAGGTACTGTTAGGCACTTCTACAATTTGCAGCCTTAAACTGACATCTTAACCACTTAGACTTAAAGATGCAGGCTTGAGTCCAGCGCAGCCGGTGGCCAGCAAGCAGCCAGGGTTCTGCTGCTAAAGAAGGGAAGACTAGATACAGGATGTGCTTTTCATTATAAGAGTCATCAAGCTCTGGTTCATCCCTTCTAGGGACTGGAAGACTTCAACTAGTTTTAGCCAGCTGACTAAGAGAGGCAGTGACATGTGGTGACCTAGTAACCACAAAGCCACAGGTTCCAGACCATGATTCCACAAGTCACCAGAGTCACAGCCAGCCTTGATCCCTGAGGGAAAGCAGAACAGCCTCTGCCAGTCTACATGCAGTCCATGAAATGTGTCAAATCAGGATTTATCAAGAGCTAAATTATTACTGCAACATAATCTAGCCTACTTTAGTATGTCTGAGGACAGCAGTCTTCCACAGTCCAATGAGTAAAATCATAATCCAGTCAGAACAGCCTCACACCAAACAGGACCTGTTATTACTTGCTTCTGATCAACAAAGTTGAAATATTGATCACTCAGTAAAATGTTACTGAATCCACTGGTTGTATGAAGGGATCTAACAAATATGAGTAATGATTGGCATCTAGTGGAGAATTAATTATTCAGACTTGCTTTGCCTTTACCTAAGTATCTACTACTAGAGAGTAACAGAATTTAAGAGCCATTTTCAGATACCATTCTGGATGATAAGTAAAATCACACTAATTGTTCTGTTAAAACCTAAATGACAAAACTTGGTGAGAGGAATAGAGAGCTGATTTGGGGTGGGGGGGGCATTGAAAACACTGTTCTTTCAGAGGACCTGGGCTCAGTTCCCAGCACCCACATGGTGACTCACAACCATCTGTAACCCCATTTCCAGGGGGTCTGATGCCCGCTTCTGGACTCTGGGCACTGCTTGCACATGGCATGCACACACACACACACACACACACACACACACACAGGCAAAGCGTAAAATTTTTTTAAAGCTTCATGAGAAGCTGCCACAGTTTAAAAAAAAAAAATCAGGTGCCAGAGGTGGGGAGGTGGCCTGGGGAGATAGTTTAACCTGTGAAATGCTTGCCATGGGAGCATGAGGAACTGTTTAATCCCTAGCACCCACATTTAAAAAAAAGAAAACCCAGTGTGGTGGTACATGCTTGTAATCCTAGCACTGGGGAAGCAGACAGGATCCCTAGGTTCACTGGCCAGCTAGTGTACCCAGTTGGTGAGCCTCAGGACAGTGAGAGACCTTTGTCTCAAAAAACAAAGTGGTGGGGCTGGAGAGATGGCTCAGTGGTTAAGAGTACTTGTTGCTCTTCTAGAGGAGCTGAATTCAGTTCCCAGCTCCCACATCAGACAGCTCATAATCATCTATAACTAGTTCCAGGGGATCTGATGCCCTCTTCTGGCCTCCACAAGCACCTGTGTGCACTTTGTACACACACATACACACACACATATGCAAGCAAAGCAGCTAATACATAAAAAATAATAAACCTTTAAAAGCCAAAAGTAAAAGTTGGGCATAGTTCTCCCACTCTTGTTAGGCTTAGAACCTGCAAGAGAAGTGTAGTCAGGGTGGTTCGCAGAGCCCCAGTCCCAGGGTAACCGATAAAAAATAGAAGCTGCTGCTGTGAGGCAGCAGACACTATCCAGCGTTCCCTTCCCACCCATGGAATGGCAGTCCCAGCTCTGTCCCTGGCTTACCCCCACAGACACACCTTACACATAGAAATTGATTTGAATGGCATTTCTTTGCAGTACTCATTCTAGGATCCTAGGTTGATACCCAAGTCCATCTTGGTCATGAGTCATTTCTTAGGGTTTTGTTCCAGTAGGACATTTTGCCACATGATCTGAGCTGACAAGTGCACACCAGCCCCACTGGGAATGCAGCCACCTGCCTCGTCCTGCTCTCTTTTGTAACTGGTACAAGACTTGGCTGCAGTGATATACGGCTCCTTTGTCCGGGGGTTACCATATACTCTGAATTTTTCTCAGCATGCATGTCTGAGAAACAGCACTTCCCTAGCTCCCTGTTTACAGCCTGAGACCACAGTGAGAGGAGTAAACCCTGGGTGTTCAGCAGTGCTGTCTACAAAGGTAGCAACTTCAGCTGTTCACACCATTCCAAAGTTCCTGTGCCAAGAATGCAAGCCCACTTGGTCTTCAAGCTGGACGTGTTTCAACAGAACCACAATGCTCATGGATGCAGAGGCTGTGTGGTTTAGAGCTGGGAAGTGTTCCCAGGCATTTTTGCAGCATTTCAGCCATGAAGCACAGCCCCTAACATGCAGTGTAGGTGGAAGGAAAAAAAAACATTGACCCTACATCAGATTAGTAACCAGTTACTTTGCATGTTTGCTCTAGATGGCTAGCCCCCGAGGGTAGCTGGAGGACTAAGGAAGAAAGTGGAAACAGAACAGCAAAATTGATGGGGGGAAAAGATTTACCCAGAGATGTGTGGGGCCCGTTTCCTCTAAGTGTTCATTGTTGTTTATGGCCAATTTATTCATAAAGACAGGAATTGGATTTGAAGCCCAAAGTTTCCTTCATCTTTTTTTACTGGGCTTCTCCTAAGGAGTTAATGAGCCTCTTTTTAATGCAAGGTTTCTCTTACACTAAAGTGCACAAGTCTGAATTCTGCTCTGGACTGTGTTCTTGATTTAAGAGAAGTGGCATTCACATTGAGAAGAGAGAAAAGGGAGGAGCAGAGGACATCACTCATGGGTTCCCTAGTACTCACCTCATGCAAAACAAACCCCAGAACACGCAGACGTGGTTCTCACACTTCATCATTCCATGTGTTAACAGAGAGGTGACGTTGACTTCATTTTGCTGGTTTGTTTGGGTTTCTTGGGAAGGGACTGTTTGGGTTTTATTTGCTTATTTATGTTTGCACATGTATGTGCATGATATATGTGTGTGGGCCCTTGTGTGGATATCAGAGAGAGAACAACTTTGTAGAGTCACTTCTCTCTTCCCACCTTCACATGGGCTCCAGGGATCCAACTCAGGTTGCCAGAGTTTCAAGGCCATCCCTTGTATTTATTTATTTATTTATTTATTTATTTATTTATTTATTTATTGTCTTTTTGAGACAAGGTCTCCCTGTAGCCCCGGTTCTTATTTTATTTTAATGTGTACTTCTGTTTTGCCTGCCTGTACCACGTTGCAGGCAATACCTATGGAGGACAGAAGAGGGCTTCGGATTCCCCTGGAACTGGAGTTAGGGACAGTTGTTAGTCACCATGTGGGTGCTGGGAACTGAACCCAGGTCCTTTGCAAGAACAACCAGTGTTCTTAACCACTGAGCCATCTCTCCAGCCCCAGGATTCTTTTTATGGGGGGGAGCAGGGTGAAGGAGGGGGAGGGTTAAGACAGGGTCTTCCTATGTATACAGCTATAGCTGGCATGTAGACCAGACTGA